GTCTCCTTAGGTTACCACCATTCATTCAGTCAGTCACTCATTTACTTGGCAAACATTGAGTTCTGTGTTAGGAAAGCAGGATACAACGATGAATGAACAAATTCCTGCCCTCACTGAACTTATATTCCAGTGTTAGAGATAAACCATAAAACAAACAAGCAAAAATAGGTTAGGTAATGATAAATGCCATACAAAACACAAGAGGCAGGTTAAGAGGCTAAATAGTAATGGGTGGAGTGAGGGAACAAGGCTACTTTAGAAAGGATGATTAGGAAGGCCTCTCTGAGGGAGAATCTGAATAAAAATGTGGAGGGAGTCATGAAGATAACAGTAAAGAGTGTTTCTTGCAGATGGAACAACAAATGCAATGACCCTAATAAGGGACTGTGTTTGTGGGTTGGGAGCAGAGTAAGCAAGGAAGAAAGTAAGAAGAAGAAAGGTCAGAGAGGTAGAGGTGCAGTTTGTGTGGTGCCTCCTAGGTCATTTTAGACTTTGGCTTTTGTTCTGAGTGAGATGGGAGTCACTGAAAGCTTTTGATCAGGGAGTACACGAAATTAGTTTTATCTTTGATATAATTCCAGCTGCTGAATAGATAATGAAAAGGAAATAGTTTTCTAGTAATTTTCTAGACAAAAAATTTTTTGAATTTTCTAGCCAAGAGATAATGGCAATTTGTACTATAATGGTGGAAAGTGACATATTCTGAATATATTTTGAAGGTAGGTCTGGTGTGATCTTCTAAGATATTAGATGTGGGGTATGTGAGTGACAGGGTAATCTAAAATGATACCAAGGATTCTAATCTAAGCAATTAGGTAAATGGTGATGCCATTTATTGAAAGGAAGCACACTAGGGGAGGAGCAGGCTAGGCATAGGAATAAAGAATTCAATTTTGGACATGGTAAGTTTGAGCAGTTCATTAAACTTCCAAGTGGAGATACAGAGTGGACAGTTGGATACACAAGTCTAGAGTATAGGGGAGAGTTCAGAACTAGAGTTAATGATACATTGCTGTTGTTGTTTTAGTCATTAAGTTATGTCCGACTCTTTTGCAACTCCATGGATTATAGCCCACCAGGCTCCTCAGTCCATGGGATTTCCCAGGCAAGAATACTAGAGTGAGTTGTTATTTCCTTCTCCAGGGGATCTTCTCTGACCAGGGACTGGACCCAAGTCTCCTGCATTGGCAGGTGGATTCTTTACCGCTGAGCCACCTGGGAAGCTTTAATGATATATACATGCTCCTTAAAGTTCTGAGACTGAGAATGAGACTGTCTGGTGATCGTATGTTTGGATTGTGTAGCAGGTTGAGGCATGGGTCATTCTAGAGAATTACCACACAATTGCAAAAAATAAACATTTGGTGATTGAAACAACTATCTAATATCACTAGATAAACTAAATGATGTTCACTGGTTTTAATCTTTATGTCCTTTATTCTCAAGTACAAAAGTATATTCAGTCCTCTTACTTTTAACTTATTCTATTTTAAATAGTCAAAGTTTCAGCACTATTAGCACTCCACTGCTAATCACTAAGCTTCTAAAAGCCACAGTCTTATTCATTTTATAAGACTCATTCTTACAAAGCTCTTTTCTAGAACTTTTCCTTGACTAGCTAGTGGCATTACCACATTAAAATATGAAACTTTCTTACTTTTAGACACCTTATTTCCATTCTCTTCTATTTAAGCTTGCAGACCAATTAAAAAATTTTGTGTTCTTGTGACAACTAGGAGGCAAAAATTAAAATTTCCCTGAAGAGAAAGCTGTTCAAAGACTCATAATTTCAGGACTCAAAAGATACCTTTAAAAAAATCCTCCAAATTCATCAAGTTGTACACAGTAAATATGTACAGTTCTTTACATATCAATTATACTTCACTAAGCTGTTAAATTTTTTTTTTTTAATCTTTCATTCTGTATCACTGGATTGTTGTGCTGACTTTCTGTTAGTAGTAGTTTCAACTGATCTCTCTGGTAGATTCCCATTAATAATTGTGTATTCAAATGTTGAGAACAAATTATATACCATATTCCTTGGTTCTGAGCTGCTCTCTAGCATATATATGTGACACACATTTAGAAGAAGACATAGAATAGCTAAGAGAATTGCAGATATACCTAGAAAATTAATCACAGCAGCTTCAGATCTTCATATAGTGTCTAAGAACATTAATTCTGGAGTCATACTGCCCGGGTTTGAATTTCAGCACCATTATTTACTAGTTGTGTAACTCTAGAGAATGTACTAAAATATCTTTATGTCTCACTTTCCTCATCTTTAAAATGGAGATGGGAATAGGTCTCACTTCACAGAACTGTGAAAGTGAAAGTCACTCACTTGTGTCTGACTCTTTGTGACCCCATGGACTGTAGCCCATGGAGTTCTCCAGGCCAGAATACTGGAGAGGGTAGCCTTTCCCTTCTCCAGGGGAATCTTCCCAACCCAGGTATCGAATCCAGGTCTCCCACATTGCAGGCGGATTCTTTACCAGCTGAGCTACGATGGAAGCCCAAGAATACTGGAGTGGATAGGCTATCCTTTCTCCAGTGGATCTTCCTGACCCAGGAATCAAACTGGGGTCTCCTGCATTGCAGGTGGATTATTTACCAACTGAGCTATCAGGGAAGCCCTTTACAGAATTGTAGCGAGAATTAAATGAATACGTATAAAGCATTTATTATGTGCTTGACACACAGTAAGCCTGTGTGAATTGGGTGATAGAAGATTTTTATCAGAAGGTTGGGCAGGGGTTGAATAAAACAAAGCTCATCTGTCCATTTACTTGTCAAGATTTACCCCTTGCCACCTATTGGGGTTACAAGTCCCATATGGAAAAGAAGCAGGTGTGTTAAATATTTCACATTTGCACAGTATGACTCATTCTTATCTTGAGTATTTTGCAAAGTACAGAGTAGGACTGCTAATTTCAGTGATTTGTAAGGAATGAAGGTATAAATACATAGATGCACATATGAACAAAATTTTAAAAAAATCCTAGAAGAGGGAAGATAAACATAACAAGAAAACATGAAAAGGGAAGGAGATTGGAGAACAAGAATTGCTAGACCATCAAAGACCTCATTCCCACACTTGGCAACTATGCCTAAGCTGTCTGTATTTTTTTTCTTAAGTAAGAGGAACAATTTTCTGTAAATGCTTACTAAAATCCTTTAAGTTCCACTAGTGATACAAAAGAGACCCCTCCTTTGGAGAAAATGTAGCAAAGAGTGTCTCAAGACATAACATTCATAGATAATTATAAGTTCCCAAACATTAAATAACAATAACCAGATTCCTTCCTTAGTTTATCAATTCCATATGCCAGAGCGGGCTGCAGAATCTCTGAGACCCAAAAGATAGAATAAAGGATTGTAAGGAAGCCAGTGTGAAAAAGCAGCTATCATTTCCACTTCTTCCTAAAGGTTGAAAAGCCTAATTTAGGAGAAAAGCATAAAGATATATTTCCTTCCCTCAAGAAGCTGATAGTCTAGTCCAGGAAAGGCAGAGAGGTGACAAGAAAAATGGAATGCAGTCCACTAAGCACTAACTGATAGAGAGAAGCTTTTTTTTTCTATATGGGTCTGTGGAAATCCAGGCAGTGAGTTTCAGTGAAAGGATGATGTCTGCATGGAGTTTTAAATGAGAAATAGGAGATAAATGATAAACAAGAAGTCTCACTATCTTCTCCTTGGATTACTGGAAGCATTCCCTATCTTCCCTCTGACCCACCCTCCCTGGCACACAAGAAAAATATGAAGGAGGACTTGAGTTGTCTAGGGCAGGAGAACTTGAGACGGGTCCAGCAAACATAGTTTTTATTTAGAACAAGGTAGCTTGACTGTGTCAGAAAAGGCAAGGGCACCCCACTCCAGTACTCTTGCCAGGAAAATCCCATGGATGGAGGAGCCTGGTGGGCTGCAGTCCATGGGATCGCTGAGTCGGACACGACTGAGAGACTTTACATTCACTTTTCACTTTCATGCACTGGAGAAGGAAGTGGCAACCCACTCCAGTGTTCTTGCCTGGAGAATCCCAGGGACGGGGGATCCTGGTGGGTTGCCGTCTATGGGGTCGCACAGAGTCGGACACGACTGAAGTGACTTAGCAGCAGTAGCAGCAGCAGCACCTTGACTGTGTGTAAATTTGGGCCATATGCTTTTTCTTTCATTTTAATGTTGGCCTTCCACATTACCATGAATCTTTTAGAATGACACACTATTTGACAATTTTCATCTGCTATGTTACCCAAATACTTAATGACACAGATTCTAATTCCAAACTACATAGATGCTCCCTTACTATGGACACCTTAGAAAATAACTTCAGTAGCTGTGAACATTCTTTTTCATAAGGTTTGGTGAGATTTGTTGTGGCCAATATATGCCACATTTAATTTCTTAACTATCATCTGTGATATTTAATGAGTCAAATTCCTATGGTATCAACTTTATTTCCATGCATGGTAAATCAGTATATCTCCCTTCTCCTCCTTAGCCCATTATGAGACCCAAAAGAAAAAGGTCATTTCTAAAATTATAAGAAATATCTTCTATATGAGTCTCCCTCTGCCATGGTACTCTTCCTGTGTCCTTCAATTTTAGAGAACATATTCTTCTAAATCCTCTCTCTCTCATAAGCCTGTCAAACTTCTGTGGACCTACAGGTTCTTATCACTCACAGACATACACACACACATGGGACCTCCCCAAACAACCATCAAAATAGAGAAAGATTTAGTGGAGTGTATTAAGAGCACTAGACCGTGAGTTACGGAGACTGAATTTTGGCCCTAATTCTACCATTGGTTACATTGGATACAAATTTATTTTCTCAGGACCTCCATTTCTTCAACAGTAAAATAAGCTTGATCACCTACAAAGTCATATTCAGCTCTAATTATTCTCCAAAAATTCTTTAAAATAAAATTTGTTCTGTTACAAATACATTTACTTTATACAATTTTACTATAAGTTTTAAGAAAATTAAAACTTACCTTTTCAAATGTGAGACCCAGTCACTTCTTGTGAATTGTTTCCACAAGGCCTATGAAAGAAAAGTACTATGAGTTACAAGCAAATGAACTCATAGACAAAAGATATTAAATGTAGTAACCTCTTGATGATATATATAGAAAGGAAATTATTCAAATAAATACTGTTTGCTTTTACAAAATGCTTAAGGTAACAGAATTTGTGTGGACTGGCATAGTTCATATTATTTTCCCTCCTTCTAATGAGTGATATTAATACTAATCACCACCAATGAAATAATTACTACTGATACTGTAAAGAAACATACTGAATTACTATTCAGACAATCATTATGTTTTGAAATGAGAGGAAACTATTAAAGATCTCAATTTGCTTACAGATTTTTTTTAAGTGAAAACATTTTTTTAATTGTGGTAAAATGTGCATAACATAAAACTTATTTCAATTATTTTCTTTCCATTTATTTTTATTAGTTGGAGGCTAATTACTTTACAACATTGCAGTGGTTTTTGTCATACATTGAAATGAATAAAAATCACTTAACCAATAGTTTAAATGCAAATCATGCCAATGCACTCCAACATTATTTGAAGACAACATGATTCCAAAAGAGCTAGTGCACCAAATGTAGTACTACAGAAGAATCCTTGGAGTCACTAGGTCTTCCTGTACACTCAAACCATCATAGACAGATGAAATTTTCTCCTATTTATAAAACTCTTTAGAGAGAAGATTCCACAACTTTCCTCAGGATCCATTTCCAATATTTCACAATCGTTTCCTCCTTAAGCATCTAACAAAAATCTGCCATGCTTTCTTAAGTTTATTTAACCATCTAAGAATAAAGAGACCATTGACTATCCTCTGCACCTAAGTAACTGATATTTTAAGATAATTATTAATTATCCCTCAGGCCTCTCTTCTCTGAGTTGATGAACACTGTTCCTTCAACATTCCCCTCAGAACACATCTCCTATGTCCCATGACCTATTTTCTGTTATTCTAAGTAAATGCCTTGCTTCAGAATTTTGGTAAGGCCTGCCTGGATTTGAGTTTCTCTTTTTATGTTTTACACTCTAAAAGTCTTGAATTTACATGGAGTCTATAGTATCTGCTCCTTACCTAAGATTTTCTCTCTCAGAATAACATTAAGCAATTGCCGATATTATCCAAAATATAGTTGTATAACCACAGTGCACAAAACATAAATTTAAAAAAATGTAAAAGTCCTAATTTAACCTCACAAAATAAGGCAATATAGTTTTAGCTTTGTGATATCCTGTCCAGAGGCCAAGAAATTATTCAAGTGGTTTTCTCAGGAAACAAATGTTTAGACTCTTGGGAGGAAGCCAGAAATCTGGAGTGGGTGATGTGGTTCTTGGCTCCCTAATTCTTATGTCACCAAAGAAATATTTTGGCTGAGCACTGAATACTCGTCCTCATTTCCAGACCATTTCATTTTGTGAAGTTAGAGAATTGTGTAATGCATCCCATGCATTTTTATGGTCTAATTGCCATATGTTATATATTTGGAATTTGAATTTTTGGAGTGTATGAAGATATTGTCAATCTAAAAGCTGTCTTCCTATATATTACACAATAACTAATGCCTCTCTAATGTCTGGTTCAGTACCTGATTTACTCTCTTGGGTTCTCAAACATCTTCTCAATAAGACCTACGCTATGTCCACTCTACTTAGAATTGCAACCTGTACCAATTACTCTCACACACACTCATGCACATACACACACCACACCTACTATTTCTATATTTCAAAGCATGCGTTTCCTTTTAATATAAAAACATCATTTAGTGAATTGTCATTTATCACTTGTTTCCCTCCTCTAGACTGTAAGCTCTATGCAGCAGGTATTTTTGTGTTTTGTTCCTGATGATGACCAAGTGCCTATAACTAGTATCTGACACACATTATGTGTGCTCAATAAATCTGTCCTAAATGAATGAATGAGTTGAATAATCCCTGAGGGATAGTGAGTATACAGATTGGCACTATGACATGCTCTGTTTTTTATATATTATTGAAGACATCAAACATCAGTTAACTCATTAAGTTGAAAGCTCACAATCATCCCACCCCAGTACTAATGCACTATTTTCTGTCAGGAATGCTCTTCTGTCACATCAGCTCATTATTCATAACTAAACTGTCGCCACCTCTGAAAGTCCTTCCCTCACCACCTGATGTTAATTAGACAGCCTGAGAAAGTGATTGCCAGTCACTATCACAATGCCAGTCACTGTTTTAGTTCCTTCATTATATTGTAACCTCTTATGAAAAAAACCAAATCAACTTTTTGGCCATACTTGCCAATACTTGAGGTTACATTATTGGTTTATTTACATATATACTTGTTTAAAATGTGCAAGCTTTGTGAGATCAGCAGTATATTCCCAGCATCAGGGTCAGAGTAGGTAATTTGTCAATACTTGATGAACGAACGAATAAATGATTAATTTGTAAAAATGTAAATCATGAAGTTGCAAACAGAAATGACAAGTACTATTCATCCAATTGCAAAATATTATTGGATGTTACTTTCATTTATTTCAAAATATTTATTCAGTGGTTACAAATTGTACTTCATCATTTATATAGATAAATGTATTCATATACACAGTCACATATGTATTATCTGTTAACACTTAGGGCACACATGGAAGAAGCAAAAGGAGTAAAGGAGAATAACACAAGAAAAGTGAAAATAAAATGGAGGCAATCATAGGTTGATTTGAGAAGTGGGAGGGTAGTAAGTGGTTTTGGGGTAGCTGAAAAGAGTATTAAAATGTTCCAGAAAAAAATATGATTAAAGCATAATCAGAAAATATCTCACCTGTATTGCTCATGAAACTTAACTTTGATTGGGCACACTTGGTCAGCCTCACTCCACATAAACCTCATTTTATCATGCTCCTGGGAACTCTACCTATTAAAAACCTGAGATTTAATACCAAATTCCTTTCTCCCAAGGTGCTACATCTCCCTGGTTTCATTAAACTCCTGTAGTTTGCTTCCTCACATTCAAAAAAAAAAAACAAACAAAAAAAAAAACACCCAAAGGTATTTGGTTACCTTAGTTAACAAAATAGAAGTGATAAGTATTTAGCTCTTGGTTTTGCAGTGGTAGGTGATCAATTAATATCTGCTAAATGAAAATAGAAAAATATAGGAGTATAGACAACATTAAAAGGCAGCCTGATTTCTATTACTAAATATAAAATTTTTTGCCATATGATCTTGGAAAATGAACATTTTATTTATAGAAAGTTAAGTATTAGAAAGGTAACCTTTAGACTTACCTTCTCATGTGACTATAAGCCTTCACATTCTCTGGTAATGAGTCTGAAACTAAATGGGGGAAGTTGTCCCAATGACTTCCCTTTTGTGCTTTCCACTTATCTCTAAATGATTTCTTTTTAAGGAGAATTGACTAAATCAAGAACAAAGGGAATGCTGACACCACTTGGACTACAGGAAGCATTTGGAAATGTGAAACAATGCCTACATTTCCTTCTTTCTCCTTTCCAGAAAAACCCCTGTAACGTTTACAACATGTTCATTTAAACAATTTGTTTGAACAACTGGAGGAAAGTGTCAGCATTCTAAAGGCAAAACACACTGAAAGGCATTTATTTTAATTTTTAGGACGCAGTTAACATTTTATCCTCTGTCATTTTCCTCTATAGTTTTTTATTAAGATTCCAAAGTAGTTTATATTTGAAAAACAAGATGAACACTGCAGAGCAATACATAGCTCTAAATTTTATATTTATTTTCATATGTGAGTTTCATAAGAAGCCACTGAGATAGGAAGAACAGGAAGTATTCACTCCATTTTCTGGAAGAGGAAAATAAAAACTTCATTTTCCAAGATCACATGACAAAAGATTTTATATTTGGTAATAGGAACCAGGCTGCCTTTTAATGTTGTCTATATTTCTATATTCTTCTATTTCTATTTAGTTCACTACAGTTCAGTCACTCAGTCATGTCCAACTCTTTGTGACCACATGAACCGCAGCACGCCAGGCCTCCCTGTCCATCACCAACTCCCAGAGTTTACTCAAACTCATGTCCATTGAGTCGGTGATGTCATCCAGCCATCTCATCTTCTGTTGTCCCCTTCACCTCCTGCCCCCAATCCCTCCCAGCATCACAGTCTTTTCCAATGAGTCAACTCTTGGCATGAGGTAGACAAAGTACTGGAGTTTCAGTTTCAGCACCAGTCCTTCCAATGAACACCCAGGACTGATCTCCTTTAGGATGGATTGGTTGGATCTCCTTGCAGTCCAAGGGATTCTCAAGAGTCGTCTCCAACAACACAGTTCAAAAGCATCAATTCTTTGGTGCTCAGCTTTCTTCATAGTACAACTCTCACATCCATAACATGACCACTGGAAAAACCATAGCCTTGACCAGAGGGACCTTTGTTGGGAAAGTAATGTCTCTGCTTTTTAATATGCTATCTAGGTTGGTCATAACTTTCCTTCCAAGGAGTAAGTGTCTTTTAATTTCATGGCTGCAATCACCATCTGCAGTGATTTTGGAGCCCCCAAAAATAAAGTCTGACACTGTTTCCACTGTTTCCCCATCTATTTCCCATGAAGTGATGGGACCAGATGCCATGATCTTAGTTTTCTGAATGTTGAGCTTTAAGCCAACTTTTTCACTCTCCTCTTTCACTTTCATCAAGAGGCTCTTTAGTTCTTCTTCACTTTCTGCCATAAGGGTGGTGTCATCTGCATATCTGAGGTTATTGATATTTCTCCCGGCAATCTTGATTCCAGCTTGTGCTTCTTCCAGCCCAGCGTTTCTCATGATGTACTCTGCATATAAGTTAAATAAGCAGGGTGACAATATACAGCCTTGACATACTCCTTTTCCTATTTGGAACCAGTCTGTTGTTCCATGTCCAGTTCTAACTGTTGCTTCCTGACCTGCATACAGGTTTCTCAAGAGGCAGGTCAGGTGGTCTGGTATTCCCATCTCTTTCAGAATTTTCCACAGTTTATTGTGATCCACACAGTCAAAGGCTTTGGCATAGTCAATAAAGCAGAAATAGATGTTTTTCTGGAACTCTCTTGCTTTTTCGATGATCCAGCGGATGTTGGCAATTTGATCTCTGGTTCCTCTGCCTTTTCTAAAACCAGCTTGAACATCTGGAAGTTCACGGTTCACGTATTGCTGAAGCCTGGCTTGGAGAATTTTGAGCATTACTTTACTAGCGTGTGAGATGAGTGCAATTGTGCGGTAGTTTGAGCATTCTTTGGCATTGCCTTTCTTTGGGATTGGAATGAAAACTGACCTTTTCTAGTCCTGTGGCCACTGCTGAGTTTTCCAAATTTTTTGGCATATTGAGTGCAGCACTTTCACAACATCATCTTTCAGGATTTGAAATAGTTCAACTGGAATTCCATCACTTCCACTAGCTTTGTTTGTAGTGATGCTTTCTAAGGCAAACTTGACTTCACATTCCAGGATGTCTGGCTTTAGGTGAGTGATTCCACTATCGTGATTATCTGGGTCATGAAAAACTTTTTTGTACAGTTCTTCTGTGTATTCTTGCCACCACCTTTTAATATCTTCTGCTTCTGTTGGGTCCATACCATTTCTGTCCTTTATTGAGTGCATCTTTGCATGAAACATTCCCTTGTTGTCTCTAATTTTCTGAAGAGATCTCTAGTCTTTCCCATTCTGTTGTTTTCCTCTATTTCTTTGCACTGATCACTGAGGAAGGCTTTCTTAGCTCTCCTTGCTATTCTTTGGAACTCTGCATTGAAATGGGAATATATTTCCTTTTCTCCTTTGCTTTTTGCTTCTCTTCTTTTCACAGCTATTTGTAAGGCTTCCTCAGACAGCCATATTTCTATTTAGCAGATATTAATTGAGCACCTACCATTGAAAAACCAAGAGCTAAGTACTTGATACAAACATAAGATATAGTCTCTCTTTAAGGAAATTAGTATTCAGTACGGAAAGCAGAAATTACTGAGTACCAGGACCGAGGGGAAAGGAGCAGCGACCTGACAAAAGACTGATTCAGACTTGCCCAGGAGTGTCCAGGAGTCTCCAGCAGAGGCATGGGTCAGTGGTGGCCTGCGGCAGGGTTGGGGGAAGGGAGTGTAGCAGTATATGCATGGGATCTTTTGAAGGAGGTCGCCATTATCTTCATTACGTCCACCATAGTTTGGCCCCAGGTAAATAGCAGGGAGGGAACACAGCTCCACCCATCAATAGAAAATTAGATTAAAGATTTACCCCATCCATCAGAACAAGACCCAGTTCCCCCCTCAGTCAGTCGCTACCATCAGGAAGCTTCCATAAGCCTATTTTCCTTCTCCATTAGAGGGCAGACAGACTGAAAACCACAATCACAGAAAACTAACCAATCTGATCACATGAACCACAGCCTTGGCTAACTCAATGAAACTAGGAGCCATGTCGTGTAAGGCCACCCAAGATGGATGGGTCATGGTGGAAAGTTCTGACCAAACATGGTCCACTGGAGAAGGGAATGGCAAGCCACTTCAGTATCCTTGCCTTGAGAATCCCGCGGACAGTATGAAAAGGCAAAAAGATAGGACGCTGAACGATGAACTCCCCAGGTCGGTAGGTGTCCAGTATGCTACTGGAGATCAGTGAAGAAATAACTCCAGAAAGAATGAAGAGACAGAGCCAAAGCAAAAACAACACCCAGTTGTGGATGAGACTGTTGATAGAAGCAAAGTCCGATGCTGTAAACAGCAATATTGCATAGGAACCCGGAATGTTAGGTCCATGAATCAAGGCAAATTGGAAGTGGTCAAACCGGGGATGGCAAGAGTGAACATCGACATTTTAGGAATCATCAAACTAAAATGGACTGGAATGGGTAAATTTAACTCAGATGACCAGTATATCTACTACTGTGGGCAAGAATCCCTTAGAGAAATGGAGTAGCCATCATACTCAACAAAAGAGTCCAAAATGCAGTACTTGGATACAATCTCAAAAGCAACAGAATGATCTCTGTTCATTTCCAAGGCAAACTATTCAATATCACAGTAATTCAAGTCTATGCACCAACCAGTAATGCTGAAGAAGCTGAAGTTGAACAGCTCTATGAAGACCTACAAGGCCTTCTAGAACTAACACCCAAAAACATGTGCTTTTCATCATAAGGGATTGGAGAGCAAAAGTAGGAAGTCAAGAAACACGTGGAGTAACAGGCAAATTTGGCCTTGGAGTACAGAATGAAGCAGGACAAAGGCTAACAGAGTTCTGCCAAGAGAACAGACTGATGATAACAAACACCCTCTTCCAACAACACAAGCAAAGACTCTACACATGGACATCACCAGATGGTCAACACCAAAATCAGATTTACTATATTCTTTGCAGTCAAAGATGCAGAAGCTCCATACAGTCAGCAAAAACAAGACTGAGAGCTGACTGTGGCTCAGATCATGAACAGATATGCCAAATTCAGACTTAAATTGAAGAAAGTAGGGAAAACCACTAGACCATTCATGTATGACCTAAACCAAATCCCTTATGATTATACAGTGGAAGTGACAAGTAGATTCAAGGGATTAGATCTGGTAGACAGAGTGCCTGAAGAACTATGGGTGGAGGTTTGTGACATTGTACAAGAGAGCGAGCAAGACCATCACCATGAAAAAGAAATGCAAAAAAACAAAATGGCTGTCTGAGGAGGCCTTACAAATAGCTGTGAAAAGAAAAGTGAAAAGCAAAGGAGAAAAAGAAAGATATACCCATTTGAATGCAGAGTTCCAAAGAATAGCAAGGAGAGATAAGAAAGCCTTCCTCAGTGATCAATGCAAAGAAATAGAGGAAAACAATAGAATGGGAAAGA